ATCGCGTTTACTTTTTTTTTTTTTTTTCACGATCCCCTTCTGCAAGACAGCGTTAAGTCACGCCGGTCTTTTACGGGGCAATGCGCGCGAAGGTAAACGATCTCGCTCGCTGCTTTTCGACTCTTTCGTGCGTTCGACCGCGCGAAGCGAAAAAAAAAAAAAAAGAAAGGAGCTGAAAGCGGGGTGGAAATGCACGAAAGGACGCACCAACCAACGATGGAGGAAATAAAGCATTTCGGAGGGCGGAGGGGCATAATTTTCGTTCCTTCCGCGACCGTATTTCGTGGAGACAATGCGCTCTGGGTACCGCAATCCCGGATGCAACCGACCCAGAAAACACGGCTGGGATTACTGTACCGCGATAGCTTGCTTTCTACTCGCCTGTCTGTCTCTACGTTTCCAAATCCGTACTTCCGCCTACGTGCGATTACTTGGAAGTCCCAGAGGGTGTAAGGAAGAATAGGCAACCGTATGGCGACGCTCGCGAAATTTAAGTTAGGACGGAATATATCGAAATGAAATGCGATAAATCATATAATATGCTATATACAGATATTGAAACTTGTGCTTTTTGCATTAAACGAGGTAATGAAGTTGATTTATGGATAACTCTTTCTTCGGAGCTTGAGCTTTATAACGTGAGAACCGGCGTTCTTTTAATCGTTCTTTACTCCAGCTTTTGTTTCAATAAGTTCTTTACAAAAGCGCGATCCTCGACGTTTATCGATCCAATCCTGTTTCTTGCGTCGTATAGAAATTGAAAAGTTATCGTGTATAGAATGTCCCAGAATACGTACCTGGCACTGTCTCCAAGACGCAAAATCGTTTTAACGACAGACACGCTCATTGTCCGCAGCCATCAACTCATCGTCGTGCCACGGCTTACATTAGATAAATAATAAATGAAGCGCCCGTTAATGTCAGTACCGTGACACATCGAACGTCGTTCGGAATAAAAGATCTTATCAATCTAATTGATTATGTGTAATGTCAAAATCGATACGACGGTCTAGTAAAACGAAACGTTACGAAGAGCATTGGAATCATCGTCTTGCTGTCAAAATGTCATATTCGAATGTCGATTCTCGGTAGCATCATATCGGGATTACATACATTTATGACTAAATCTTCGATATGGTCATTGCGGATGAGAAACGGATATTCCGGCTGAAGTTTTCAAAACCAGCATCCGCGTAGCGTAAAATCGGGTTTGTTTTCTCTCCCGCGTATTTAAATAACAATATCCACGTACATATCTGTACACCGCTGTTATATACGCTCGCACGCCGCCACAATACGTACAAGTGAATGTATCGAAAACGCATTCGCCATTTTTCCTTACTTATCAAAGTATTTGCGAAAGTATAGACGCGCAAGAGTCGCTTCCCGGCAGTGCGCGGACCAACTTTGGTGCTCTGAAGTATGCCATTATCAAACACATCCACTACGAAGTTAGACAACTTCGATGGGATCCGAAGAAGCGGCAGGAAGAAGGCGGCCAAACTTAGCCGATGAATCTGCCGGGAATAGTCTTCCAGCGTTTCATCAAGTTTGCAGGGCGGCCCGCGCGGCACCCTACCCCCTTCATCCTCATTTTTTACACGAATCGGATGTGCCTTTACACGCGCGCGTATACTTGAACTTTTTTGCCGCCGCGAATTCCTGAGCGAGATATTATGCGCCGCGAGAAAACATCGGCACGACAGGCCGGATATGCGCGGGGCCTGTGTTTTATTGCCACCGCCGGCGAATAAATATGCGGACGTTTCCGCCACGGCCTTCTACTCGGCCGTAAAAATGATAAAGAAGGATATCGACTGCCCGACCACCTTGAATTGTTGGAATACATATGGAAACTCACCACCACACCAATCGCGCCTGCCTTTTGCCTGGAATCAATGCACATCCCCCGCTCCGTTGAGTCACTTTTTCTCCTCGCGGTGGTCGCGATCGCGTTCGAAGATCCTACTCCACTCGCACTCGTACCGCAAACTCACTTCCTCTTCGTTTCAAGCGGGTCCTGCAGAGATAAAACTTCTTACCGCCGGTCATTCTTATAAGTTGTTCTCAAGTACTTCGTCACACTAAAGTTTCTAAAGCTGTGAATGCTCAAACCTTAGTCTTTCGTCCGAGCCATTGACTGTTAGTCAACAAAAAGTATTCTATGTCTCTATCTAATGGAAAATAAAAACCGTTTTTTCGGCAAAATTAATTTAAGATTTTCAACGAAAACAATTTTACTTTTTAATTTATTATGTAGCATTTTTACATGAGGTGTGTATTTGTGTGCTTGCAGAATTCTACATACATCGAAGATGCAGTAAATAGTTCATTTCTCACGGAAGAGTTATCGCATTTGGTAAGTGATTTATAGTTTCAAGTTTACTCCATCAAGAACTTAACATAATGAAAGCAAACGTGAAATAAACGCGTCTATAAAATATTGTAGATGACGTTTTATCGATTAACAAGTCATCAGCTACGCATATGCAAATCCGAAAATGTTTAAAAATATTCAATTTCCGATACTGTCAGCTTATTCGTAGTTGAGAATTTTGCGGGTTGAATCAAAGAGCCGAAGTTTATATAAAAATCCATGAGAAGTTTCTCACTCCCCGCGGCGACGATTTTCAAGAAATATTCGTGCCAAGCTACTTCGGCCGGTAAGTGCACCGACGTCCCTCATGAATTTCATAAAGTTTCATCCGTCCTGTACATCGAGAGTTTCACGAGGCCCGTGAAAATTGGTGCCATTCGACGCTCGCGTAAAGCTCCGTCAAAATCGAAATCTAAGCTACGGCGTCCATACTATGAATCTTGGTCGCCTTTCGCGTTCAAAAATGGGATTATGCCGCGCGGCCGCGCGGGCCAATCCAATCAACTCACTTGAGAGACTTATAACATAAATTTCATAAAGCGAGAACGGAAGGTGCCTTTTAAAACGCGAAGTGGGACAGTAATTCGGAATTTGAATCACGTTGTTTTTTATTTACTGCGCGTCTCATTTGTGGCTCAAATGCATTGGAAACGAGACACAAATTGTTTGATTAATTTATGAAAATAAATTATTTATTTCTCGCAACGAAAAGAAATTGAATCTGATAACACAAGAGCTAGAAATTCATATAATTGAATTTATTAATTCAATCACCTTAAAAGTAAATGTGATTTTGAATATAGCTTTCGATCTAGTACGCTATTTAAATTTAATTAACCTCATTAGTATGGAATGCGTAATTTATATTTTCCCGTGCATCAGATTTTTCCATTTTTATATGTAACATGTGTACACTCCGATGATATCTAAATGATTTATCTTCATTATTTATTAACCCAAGCGTTTTTTCGTTGCCGCACGGCGAAGCTCACTTTCTCGCGATGAATGTCACGCGTTATTGCACAGCGTCTACGGTGTTTCGTGTAAAATTCATTCCCCTTTATAACGATAATGACCCTCCGTACTACGTCCGCTCACTGAATCATTCATGACGGCGTGGGGTCAGACTTGTGGAGTCTTCGTCAGCTGCCGTGCGATTACCGTGCATTAGTCCGGGAAAGTCTCCGAGAGAACGGAAGTGTCTCTCGGAAAATAAGAAGACACCACGAAACTATTTACTGTCACTGCGAGAACGCAAATGTCGCCCTCCCGCTGCGCTTTTTTTTTTTCTTTAGATTTCTCACGTCGTTACCGCATCTCCACTTTTATCGATCTTATTGGCGGCATCCCGCCGTTCCGAATGTTTTTCCAATATCCGTGACTGGATTTTGCGACATGACAAATGCGGCGTAGATAAATCGTGCTCATTATTTTTACTTCTTGACTTCAAATATTTTATACGCAGCAAGAAATAAGATATATCACGTGACCGCGATTATACTGCGTTTGGAATAGCTGTACCGTCATGTCGTATCTTTTCCATTCTGTTTGAGGAAATTATTATTTAAACTTATTAGTTTTTTATTTTAATTGATTTTACATAAGCTCTAACTTTATAACAGATAAATTCTGTTATCACAATCTTACTCTTATTTCAACATTTAAGTGCAGTTTTATGGGTCGAGCGTAATTTAACGACCCGATAAAAGTAAAAGATAATAATAGACGGACATAGTAAAAAAGCAATAAATTGGAATACGAAGCTGCAGAAAGTTGGGAGGACAGCGCTTATTTCGTACACGCCTGAAGCAAAAGAGAGAGGCCAACCTGACCTTCTTCTCATCTTCTGGCCGCCCATACTTTTCTTTCCTTTCGTTCGCCCTTTACGTAATAAGTCCTTTCTGAGATTTCTGTCTGGATAAACTGGGAAAGTGTGCAAAACGGAGGTAAGGATAAGTCCATTGCGAATGCGTAAGCGAATTACGGAAGTTCTTTGCTGGAGCGAAAAGAGCCGGTCGGAGCGACGGAACCGGAGAAATCCTTTCAACATTTTCCCGTTTCGTGGATGCTCTATGGGCATTGCCGAGTTAAAACATGGTTTCTGGGACTAATGGAAACGCATTAATTTATCGCGATATCATGAATAGAAACTTATTCGCACGCTGCGTCCTTTTAATAAATTGTATCAACCTTGTTACGCAAATGGATGAATGCTTAGTGCTTCTGAAATAAAGATCAAGGATACATGCTAAAATATATAATAATGGATACGGATATCCGCTTTGAAATCCTTCGAAGTAATGAGGCATTAATATAACGATGAATGATACGACCGTTTGCGAGCTCGAATTCTTAATATCGTCGGCCGGAAGCGGGTCTGCGAATCTTCCTACTGTTACTTTGCAATTGAAGATATCGATGCTCATCGCCGTCATCGATCACGCGCGTTGCATACACGTTACGATGACGCGCACGCTCTTCCTTCTTTTTACAAATTGCAATCAATCTCCAAGTAAATAGATTCGGGTGACAGAACCGTGATTAAAATTGATTCCACGGATAGCATACTTTATGAGAGAATTTCTTTCGTCGCTATCCGACGGACGAGAACGATCACGCGGATTCAAATAGAAATACATTGTATCGAGCGACCTGCCGATGCCGGTCCAATCAAGCCGCGGACCAGCGGATTATATGTCTACGAGGGAATTCACGTTGGGAATCCCGCGCGAGAACCGTTCGCCTCGATATATCGGTTGACCTGTTATTATCAGAAATAATAAGCTCACAGCTGACCAGCGGTTCCCCCGTGGGAATCACCCTATTGGACACCCGATGACGATCCTCCCTTGCGACCGCAAATACGGACGGCACAAGAGCACTTGACCGACTTTTCCAATTGGTCCTGCTAAACTTATCGGACAGCGGTCCAGTCTTGCGCTCTCTCTCTCTCTCTCTCCTCTCCACGCGGACCAATAATATCTCACGAAACGCGGTGATCATGGGAGCGCCTCGGGGATGCGGCGATCTATAGGAAACGCGGGGCGAGGGGTGGCGATCGAATTAAAAAAAAAAGAAGCGAGAACTTGATTCTCTGCGGACGAAACTCTAATTACATCCGGTGAGTGTCGCAGAAATGAAACTGTGATATTTATGTGTAGCGGGTGAGTGTATTATGTAAGTAATAGTGGAAGAGTTAGGAAGATGTAATACTTAGCGCAATTTCGCGCACACACCGGTGCGCCGATAATGTATCTGTCGCTTTGCCTTTGTTTACTGATGCGCATCCCTCTCGTAACAGTATTACGGTATCCTAAAAGGGGTTCTTGGTATCGATTTTATGTATTCTTGGTATCTAGCGTATGCACATAGCGACTATGCGAATTTCCATCGCACGTGCAGGCGGATCTTCGCTTTCCGCTGCGAGCTGCGCACTCGTGTTAATAAGATGTGAGTGAAATTTCGAAGAGTTTAATATAAATCCGTCTCGCGTGACGAACAGACATTCCATTTCGACGATCGAAGAAGTGAGAGATAAAACGCGCTCTCTTCTCATTCGCAATATCGCCTTAAAGTCGTAGCGGGCGGGGGTGGACGGACAAAAGTGTAAGATTTTAACGGCGCCAGCGTTAAGCTAAGCCGTAATCGTCTTATTTCCGTGTTAAATCTCTTCTTCTCTTGTCCTTATGCTCCGGGAGTGGAAGGTGCCGCGAATACCAAGCGAATGATATGACTGGCACCATTGTTTCAAGCTTATACCCCCCTCCGACTAGTTATAAGCCGTCGGGTGGGGCGAGAAACATGCGAATTAAAAGCCGTTTCCTCAAGATGAGCCGCTATATTACGGAATGAGCTTAGAACAAAACCAGGCAGGTTAGGTTAGGTTAGGACAGGCAGGGTGCCGTCGAGCTAATATCAAAGAAGAAAATATCAAGAAACAAAAATACAACGGACGCGTACTGCCATTTTCAGCTAACGATTAACGCTAAACGTGGTTTCATTCTTTACTTCTTTCTGCAGATAAAATGAAATCGTTACTTAAATTTTAATTAACTTTTCAAATTCATTTGCGAAAATGGCTCATAATGATTTTACGAGATTTTTCATCATACTTGAATTATCAAAATTACCAGAACATTTGCCTTATAATTAACCAACGTCGCGAATGCTCAGTTTCGCGCAGATATTCACCTTAGCTGTTTGTATCAGAATCTGCTTTCGGATGACAGCATTGTCTCGTCGTAGACCTGGTATGCTTTTGATTTTAAGCGACGAAGGCACAGTATCGAGTGACAAGTGTGCTGTACAAACTAGAGTTTCGCGTGAGATACGATGGATCTCGTTGCACTATTAAGACATCTTGGTACGTGCGTCATCTTGGTGCTATAATTAGGAAAGCAGCGTTGTTTGTGAAAAAGACATTGTGATAAGCAATATATGATATAATCATAACATTATCCTTCCTGCCATCTTTTTCAAATACAATTAACTAATAAATAATATAATTTATTTCTTTCAAGTTGTACTTAATTTTAGATATGCAGGAAATATATTATTACTGATAAGAAAATTTTTCTCTGTCGTATTGTAGTATTATTGTTGATAAACGGTAAAGTTTTTGTGTAAATACTTTATGACTTTGTCGTATAATTTTTATGAAAACTTTAAAGAATATTGATATATATATTAACGTATTTAACTTTATTATCCAAAGGCTTCTTAATAGCATTCGCGAAGAAAGTATCATAATGCATAGTGTATGCGCTTTAAAGGGGGGATTAATTTTATAAATGACATAGTTTCTTAATATTGATGTAGCGGTAAAGAAAGTTAAGAAAGCAGGTGCATCTTTCGCGTTGAAGATGAGTACTATGATATACTATATATGTGCGAGGCCATAAAGTTTACTCCTTACTCGAGGGAAGTTTGAGTAAATAATAATCTCTCTTGTCATTTTTATTTATTATAGGAAAAGTAGACTA